AATGAAATCCTCGACGATGGCAGTATTTTCCCCATTTATCACGATGTTGCTTTTTGGTCCAGTTGTGACGATTACAACCCCTACGGGGCAGTTCTACTATCACGCGGGATCATGATGAGTTGTGGTCAACTTGGTGGCACACAACAACAGGACACTAATACTAATTCTCTTTTGGGAAAGTCTACTATGAAATGGCCCAGCTCAGGAAGGGTTTTTATAAAAACAAACTGCTTGTCCAGAGGTTGGACAAGATTTTCCAAAAGAGATGATGACACTGAAGTCAGTCTACAGAGGCACAGATGGGAAGACGGTGCAAGGCAGAGGACCAGAACCCAGGAACCTGCACTCTCACCTGCCACACAGCTTACATCTGAGGGAGCACTAAGCAAGCAGTGAGGTGGTCTGGCGTGGGTGAGGGTGGGGATGGTGGCTTATACATGGCTTATATGGAGGGCAGGGAACATGGTTAGCAGGGCAGGAGACTGGATCAGGATCTGCTTTTAAGTGTAGATGTGGTTAAGATGTGGAACCACTGGTGATATTTAAATAGGGCAGGATACAGTCAGAGACAGGGTGTAGGAACGTTACTCTGATGACACCGTAGAGTTTGGATTGAACGAGTGAAGAGCCTGGAAGCAGGAACATGTTTCATCTTGAATATGTTGAGATTAAGGTACTTTAAAGTAACAGGATGTTTAGTCTACAGGATGCTTGGTGTAAAGATGGCATCAAACCTATAAGGTGGCACCGTTGACAGGGGTCACCATAGATGGTCCCAGAGAGAATGGGAGAAAAATGTAGGATAAAACCCAACTTCTTTTTAAAAAAGCCCAGACCCATTGGACCAGTGGAGACCAGAGGACTCCCTGAGACTACTGCCGTGATATACTCTTTAAACCTTGAACCCAAACCATCCCCTAGGATCACCTTTTAGCAAAATAAGAGTGACACACAACATAAATGGTATTAACCACAAGAACGGTACTCTACTCAAAAAACATCTGTATGGGACCAAAAGGTCAACATTTACTCTATAGCAAAGATGAGAATGTAAGGAGGCAGGGAAACTAGATGAATGGAAACAGAACCACCAGAATGCAATGAAAGAGAATGTTGACACATTGTGGAAAATGTAACTGATGTCACTGAACAATCTGTGTGGAAATTATCAAATAAGAACCTAATTTAACTGTATACACTTTGACCAAAATCAAAATAAGATATTACTTATATTTTTAAAGAAGTAGGGGAGCTATCAAAGATGGACTCAGAACTGTGAGAATAATTAGGTAGAAAGTGGCCAGGGTCATAATATGTGTAAATATAATGAAGACAGTAATTCTCTTGAAAGTGGGAGTTGAGAAGAGATGGGGAATGGCTCATGATGGGTATATTCAAGCTACGCCTTCGAGTGTGGGAATGATGGGGATTCAGAGAAGAAAAGGCATTGCAGCTAAAGGAAGTCACATAAGCAGGTGTGTGGAGGTCTTGGAGGCCACTGGAGGAACGGATGGTAAGGACAACTATGGAGTTTCTGGAGATCAGGTTAGGGATCAGATAAGGGAGGCGCTGGGCAGAACTTCATTTACCACGAAATCAGTAGACAATTTTTTTCTTTTAATTTAAAAAAACCCAATTATGCAAAGTAGGATCAAAGCAAGGTGCCACTGCTAGCTGTCAACCAAAAAGTTGATGGTTCAAACTCACCCAATGGCTTACTGGGAGGAAGACCTAGCCATCTGCTCCCATAAAGCTTACAGCCAATAACTGGTATATGTGTTGCTGTGTATACTCTTAACAACAAAATAATTAAAATTCAAAAAGAAAAGAAACTAGTATATAAATAGTCTACATGAAACCATGGCCTTATCTGCTCTGAGACCATAAGATCTAGATGGTGCCCGATAACCACAACCAACCTTTCTGATCAGGGCCACAACAAAGGGAGCCTGGCAAAATGGGAGAAGAATGTGGACCAGAACTTCAGATTCCTTAATACCAACCAACCAGACCTACTGGACTGGCTGAGGTACAATCCAAACTGCTCTTAGATACAATTCAAACCCTGACCCGAAACGTGTCCCTGAGATCACCTTGTAGCGGAAAAACTGCTCCTTTAAAAGAAACACATCTAGGAGACCAAAATGGTCAACAATGAATTGAAGAAAAAGATGAGAAGGTAAGGGGGTGGGGAAACTAGATGAATGGAAACAGTACAACCAGAACAGAAATACTGAGAATGCTCATGCATTGTGAAGAATGCCAGCACCGCCACTGGGCAGCTTGTGTAGAAACGTTAAGTGGCACCTAAACTACTGTGGAAACCTTCACCGAAAACACCCTAAGATAGTATTTTAAAAAGAAGAAAACCCTATGGGGCTTCCTAGTCTGTCACATGGGGTCGCTATGAGTCAGAATCAACTTGACGGCACCTACAGCACCAACATGATCAAAGCCACAGAGGAAACAGAAACTCTAATGCCAGGACGACCTGAGACCACTGCAGCATCGGCCAAGAGAAATACAATTGAGCCAGGCGTGCAAGTAAAAATTTTCTGGTGAAATAAAATGTTACAACGCGTTTCTATAACCCAATCTACTCCAAACACCACCATGGCACCATGACGCACCAGCCCCTTTTCAGGAGGCCGGTGCCACGTGTCTTGGCCGGGGCAGGTCTAGAGGTGGCGCGCAGAGCTGGTGCGTGTGCTTGGGCTGCACATGTGAATGTGGACACGGGCTTGTGGTCCTGAGGTTCCAAGGGTTCGAGTGGGGGCTGTTGTATGGAGGTGGTGCCATGATCAGAAAGAAGCATTCCAGGCAGAGTGAACCTGTGGCGTCCACAGAAACAGACAATAGAGCACTCACGGGCAGGATGACTTTTATTTCCATCCTGAGTGATGATCACACTGTTATTTAAACACATACAAAAAATCCTGAAATAATTTAAACGAAGGCACAGAACAAATCAAAATATTGAACTGTAAATGCTGAAAATGAGAAAATTGAAGGATTTCGACAGGAATAATAAACTACGAACAAGTTTCCATCACAAATTTCATTCTGGCCTGAAGCTACGATGATCGTTTTGTAATAAAACCTGCAGCTGAAGCTGATTCCAAGGATCCCATGATGAAAATCACATTGAAAAGAAAAATTTCTTCTTTCCGAAGACTCATTATGCCATGGGGGTCCAGTGCTTTAGAGCCGCCAATGAGCAGGGAGGGGATTTGCTGACGGAGGGCCACTCCCCAAGAAATGACCCGTTCTTACAAAAGGCTTAAAAAAATAGCAAAGTAGGTTACAAAATTCTGTTTGGGGAGCAGGAGGGAAACTTGTTCCGTGTCAATCAGAACATCAAAGCATGTCAACATCAAATTCCTTCAGAAGCCAATCACCACCCGACAGTCATACACTGTACAGGGCGTCCCGCTGTGCCCTGCTCCTGTGTTGACTTTACAGTACAGCGAAGGGGCTGAGTAAGTCAGTAGCAATTGCTGTTGCCATTTCTTATTCTAAAGAGATATGTTTAAAAAGAAAGTCATCATAAAACTGACTGAGATAATCAGTGACACGCTACAGACACGATGAACCCCAGCCAAGCCACTGTGAGGTCTGCAAACCGGGTTGTGAGGTGTCACTGTGCACTGCAGTGGCTTCAAACACATTCTCTGATGAGCAGTGGCAGTTATTACAGAGGTCACTTGTAATTTAGCTCAGATGCTGAACTAGGAAACCTTTTTCAAGTATGCACGATATTGATATGGTAAATCGTATTTTCTCTTTATTCACTGTCGACCTTCTCTCCAAGGACAACCATGTGCGATCAAGGGCAAAGGAGACGGGCTGGCCATAGTTTCAAAAGACAGTTTGGAAAGATAGGAAATAGTCTAGAGACCAAGAGCTGATTAAATGATATTAACATCTAAAACCTACTATTTCAGACGGAAAACAAACAAAAAACAACTTTTCAGTTTCTGATCTGAAATCATTAAGTTCACACATCAAGAAATCATGAGAAAAATCAGGGTTTCTAAAGCCCTCAAAACTCTATCCAAATAAAACAGAACAGTCTCTTTTTCCTACGTGGCTGCACTCTGAATATGTATTTAATAGCAGTATGGTTTTCTTTTTACCATCTAGTTTAATGGTGCAAACCACACAAACATTTCCAGCCAAGATGGCTGATCAGTACAATACAAACTCTATAAATGATTTTTTTTTCTTTTTTAGCAAAAACAGCTTCAAAATTTTCCTATGTAACAAAACATTCCTTTGGAAATGAGTTTTCAATGCTCCAGGGCTGTTCAAGGGAACACAGCTCTTCCAGCTCCAGCCGTAAACTGTAATTACCTTCTGAATTCTTTTGTCACTGGGTAATATTATCTTCTATTCTCTAGTGTCCTAAAAACGGCCCGTTACGTTTTCATAATCTCTCCAGTGGTGTTGGGTGCAAGTGTTCTTTGCTGACGAATACTGAGATATGAAAGAAGAAGCCAAGAAAACCAGAAAAATCAAGTTATAAACAGGATGGGTTTTTGAAATGTTGGCACTGGTGAAAAGCAGGAAACGGTTACCACTCAAGTGGGGTGCGGCCGCCCACGAGCCGGGTTTGGTCGCCGGCGCTGACACCAGCCTCGGCGGCTGTCTGACTCACGCCATGTTCTGTCTGTCACACAGTCAGCGCAGTCCTGGGCCGTGTGACCAGCCCCATCACCGCGTGAGGGAGCCTCGCTCACACTTCCTGCGGGCAACATTCTGACGTCGGGGAGCCTGAACTCTGAAGATACGAATTCACAGGGGTGAGTGGGTGGTGGCGTCCGAGCTCAGAGAAATGTGGCCAGTTTCGGGGCAACCGTTTAAATCAGGAGGACTATCTTAGTGGTTTTTGGCCCTATGTCTACTACCACTGTGTCAGTAGCTCCCGCCAACCAGAACCACAGTGGAACCAAAGGGATTTCTTTCGTAAACTCGGGAAGGGAAGATGCTTGACTCCAAGCCTATACGAGGCTTCCAGGCCAGCAAATAACGGTCAGAGTTACTTTGTTCCTCTGCTCCTTCAGCATGGGGACCAGTGCAGAGTGGCTCATGCCCACCGTTGACAGGCCGTTTACGGCGACAATCATGTCTCCACATCTGGACAAAGACAAGCAGAAACAAAATAAATACACTTCCTCTATTTTTATGGTATTAAGAACATCATCTGATGTTTCTGTTTAGCACGAAAATCATAACTGCACTTAACAATTCCCTGTCGATGATGAAGGTGTAGTAGCTTGGAGACCATCATCCGTCTGTCAGTTTGTCTCACTGAGGTGGCCTGAGTGTTACTGTCATGCTGGCGCACCAGCGGGGTCGCCTACAGGGGCCAGGTTTCAGTGGACCTTTCAGACCAAGACTGGACGGAAAGGCCTGGCTGGGTCTGCTTCTAAAACCAGCCGTCTGTGGTCACCACGGCCCACTGCCGGCTCGCTCTAGACTCATCCTCAGCAGACAACCGCTCGGGGAGGACATCGTGTTTGGTGACGAGGAGCCAGCGATGGGGAGGGAAACCCTCTGGCACGATGGCCCCAAAGATGGACTTGACGGGCCACACAGGACGGACGCCTGAGTCGGATCTGACAGCAGCTGTCTGTCTGTCTATCTTGTGCCAATCCCTCCTTACCTGGTGGGTGAGTTCCAAGTAGGTTAAGTTTTCACAGGGTTGCTGACACGGCTTAAGAAAAACATCACTAGCAGAGTAAACCTGCTGCCTCTTTAAAAAATATCAACTAATATGTTTTAAGGGTTGGCTGTCACCTTGACTTAGTTCTGCATTCGTTTCCAGGGTTCGTACACTCGAGAGTTGGAGTAAGTTGAGAACAAGACCCACATGTGCTCTGCAGTAACCGATACGCACCGTCCTCTAAGCACAAAGGCCACATACAGGGAATGAATCCAAGGGCCTGTCATTCCTTGCAGACTTTCACTCTCTCGTTTATAATCCAGTCACCTTCATGGATATGCTACTTTACTGTTAAGGAGCTCTGCTGGCGTGGTGTCTAAGGCATGTGTCTGCCAACCAGGAGGTTGGTGGTTGGAACCCACCAGCCACTCTGTGGAAGGAAGATGGGGCAGTCTACTTCCTTTAAGATTCACCTAAAGCAGATGGTATGCAAACTATAAGGTAATTAACTGAGGCCCAGGCTGGTTGAGTATCTAAATTAAGAGAGTGGTAATTCATTATCCCCTGTTCTTTTCCTCTTAAAATAACAACCGCCCTCCGCCGCTGCCAATCAATCAAAGACCAGTATGGAAACCTGCTGACCCTGACCAGCTCATCCAGCTATCAGTCACATGTCACCTTCTCTTTGGAAACATTGTACGGCCTCCAACTGTGCAGTGCTTGGTCTAGTACGTTAGCACTGACTCTTTGAGAACTGGGTCTCCCGTCGGGAACTACGTCAGGACTAACCATCAACCATCCACTCTTTGTTGTGGGATAAGCTCTTTTAAAGGAGCCCTGGTGGCATAGTGCACAAGGCACTTGACTGTTAACCAGAAGGCTGGCGGTTCAAACCCACCAGCCACTCCTGGGAAGGAAGGTTGGGCAATCTACTTCCATAGTGATACTGCCTCGGAAACCCAAGGAGGGGTCGCTATGAGTCGGGGCTGACTTGACGGCACATAACAACAACAACAACAACAAGCTCTTTTAAAAGAAAAATTACACACACACATATAATCCCTTCAGTGGTAAAGACATAGGTAACAACCATTTGCCATTTCAACAGTCACAGTGTGGCCACCTCTTGATGTGTGGCCAACTCTGCCTCTCTCTCCTTCCAGTGCCTGAACTTTGCAAAAGAAAGGCCGCCTGGGGGCTGGGAAAGTGTACCCCGCCCAGTGGTGGCAGCCGGCAGAGGTGCTGAAGTGCAGGCTCTGGGGTTGACGTCCTGCCTTAGAACGGGCCCCACCCCCTCAGATGAGCTATCTGCTCTTGGGGAGCCGAGCCTCAGTTATCTCACTGGTAAAACAGGACCAATGACAGCACTGACCTCCACGGAGCTGCCAAGATGACATAACACACGCACAGCACTTAACCCCGTGCCTGGCGGGCTGCCGGCCATCTGAGGCTCCCCTACCCGTCAGGCCTTGTCACTGCTGAGGCTAGAATGGTGAACAGGCCGAGCCCCTCCTCAGGGAGCGTGCATGGAGCACGCAGTCAGGCAGTGCCAAGTGCTGAGGGGAAAAACAAAGCCATGTAATCTGATGACAGGAGGGAGCCCGAGTCAGGCTGCTTGGAAAAACTGCCCAGAGCTGGTTGTTGTGTTACACCATATCCAAATGGATGACTCCGGTCCACTTCCTGTCATCAGAGTAACAGATACAGCTGCGAGTGACTCCATATAAGCACACTGTTTCCCTCTAGAGCAGGGGTCAGCACACTGTCACTGGGAGGGGCCAGACAGTAAGTATCTCATGGCCCACCATGCCGCCCGTCACGGCAATGCCATTCTGCTGCTGTGAGAGCACGCACTGTTGATACATAAATGAATGGCTGTGCGTATGTCCTAATAAAACTTTATTTACAAAAAAACAGACAGCTGGATTTGCTGCTGACCCTTGTCCTGTATCTTGTCCCTCACACTAAACACTCATCCCACTGTTATATGTAACCAAACTCACTTCAATCTTCCATCATAATACGCAGGTGTTCCCAGGACGATTGTTTTAATGAAGAAAGGCTGATTGGTGTGGTTCTCTTCATAGCCACCAACAATACTGAAGCCCCAGCTTCCCAAATGGCTTCTTCGTAAAACTATGTCATGACAGCTGTGCAGGGCACTGGGAACGAGCAGAGAGAGAGAGAGAGAAAATCAGCGTGGAGGCTCTTCCTGCTGCATAAACTGTTAGACAAAAAGAAAAAGGGCTCCCTTCGTTCTTTCTGAATGTATTATTTTGACGATTCCTTTTCTAACACATATAATCCTAAGCAGACCCTAGTATGTCCGCCTTTATTCATTTCTCAAGTGAACACACAGATACACTCACACACACACTGTGCCAGCTAGCTAGAATGAACCTGGTTACAAGGCACACCTCACGTATTTGTAGTGAATGGTTATGCGCCTTTATTTGCTCACTGCATTGTTAACAAGGTCCTTAGTTCCAACATTCATCTGTATTTACAAAAATGCTAACTGAAAGGTTGGTGGTTCAATCTCTCTAGCCGCTTTCTGGGAGAAAGGGGTGGCAGTTGGCTTCCATAAAGATTACAGCCTTGGAAACGCTGTGGTGCAGTTCCACTCTGTCCTCTAGGGGCGCTGTGAGTCAGAATCGACTCCACGGCAGTGGGTGTGGTTTGGGCTTTGCTTCTGTGAAGACTG